CTCTCTCTCTCTCTCTCTCTCTCTCTCTCTCTCTCTCTCTCTCTCTCTCTCTCTCTCTCTCTCTCTCTCTCTCTCTCTCTCTCTCTCTCCGGGCTCTCCTTTTCGCCTCTCTTTATGGTTCTTGATCTTTGTTTTCCCCAACTCGAACTCCACCTATGTGGAACCAATGATTCCGGTACAGAGAAGCATGCATATCACATATTTCAGTTCAGATCATTCCGGTACAGAGAAGCATGCATTACCCTTCTGGCTTCCATCTGGTCAAGGAGGAACAAACCGAAACGGGAGTGCAAATTCGTAAGCTACCCTCTTCAGCTGAATAGAACTCTGTAGTCTTCTGAGTTTTGCTGCTGGACTGTGTGACTTGCTGAGATTCCCACATTCTGCTGAGATTTCTAAGTAGGTGTGTGTGCATGATTGCTTAGTTTCCATGTGTTTGTCCGACCGCATGATTGCTTGGGTGTGTGTGTGACCGGCCAGGGTCGGTGTATGCGGAAAGGCCCAATGGCCCTTGGGCCTGGTACTTACCTGTGGCCCTGCTTTTGTGGGGATGAAGCAGGAACTCAGAAGTAGGCTAGGCCCACTAGGATGGAAAAAACTGAAGTAACGGGTGGTAGGCAGAGAAAGACAAAACGTTGGTACCTTTAGAGGCCGAAGTGAATTTTAGAGTCCAGTGGGCTTCGAACCTAGGGGTACCGGTCCAGTAGTCTGAGTCTAAGGTCTGGAGTGAGGGATATCTGATCTGCCATGGTGTTTACTTCAAAAATGGGGAAGGTACCGGGTAGCTTGGGAGGCCGCGCAGCCTGGAAAGTCGCCGCTCGGAGTGGAAGTAGGCCGGTATATCTCCAGAAAGAGCAAAGAGCTCTTCCTCATTTGCAGCGGGCAAGGTTGGGTGTCATGCTTGTGGAGCGGGCGCTCAGCGTAGCAGCACTGGAGAGGAAGAAGGCGGGCTTGGATCTCCATCTTGGCTATGGTGGAGAGGACCAAGGAGGAGACTCCGGGGAAGAAGTAGTAGGAGGAAGACGATGAGGAAGGAGGAGAGTGATGGGGGTGCTTACCAGGATACGGTGCTCTGCATCTTCATCTTCTTGGTTGGCGCTGCAACTGGAAGGCCCCGTAGGGGTTGGCTTCTACAAGGAAGACTTAGTGCTAAGCATGATGACCATAGTAGGACGGACACATTACCTAGCCTTGTCCATTGAACATCGGAGCTCTGCCCCGCCAGTCCGCCATAGCCACGTACTTGGCCAGGGAGGAAGAAGGTGTATGAGATGGCTGTGGTGGACCTCTTGAGTGGCTGGCAGCAAGGAGAGGATTCGTACAGTGGTTCTGGTTCATTCTTTCATTGTTATTATCATTATTGTCCTTGCAAAGAAGAAATTGGGGGAGGAAAAGGAGGTTGGAGATCGTGGCAAGATGAACGGGGCTTTGACATTGGCCTTCGCTGGTGTACATCTTCTTCTTCTCCCTAATATTAGCCAAGCCTGTGCTTGCTCACCTGTTGAACCTCTGACGTCTGTGTCAGACATGGTGGTTGTCTCTTCCTTGATGATGACTCTTGACAGGCCAAAATCTGTGACCTTGGCTTCAAAGTTCTCATCCAACATAATATTCGCTGGTTTAATATCTCGATGAATCACAGCAGGATACGCCTGCGTGTGCAAATACTCCACCTGACCAAGCATAGCAAGAGCAAGCATCCCACAGAGACATAAAGCAGAGGCAAATACGACAAGCCCCAGACAGCGACAGGCGTAGCTCGGTTAGTACACCCGTGAGCTTTTGAAATGCAGACCCAAGTTCGAACCCAGATGGAATCAGTTGAAAAAGAGGACACCAAGCATAACAAGAGCAAGCATCCCACAGAGACGTAAATCCCCAAGTCATGAGCAGAGGCAAATACGACAAGCCCGAGATACCAGCGGGCCTGGCTCAGTTGCTACACACACAAACTTTTGAAAAGCTGACCCAACTTCAAATCCAGATGCAATCAGTTGAAAAAGACAGCAAGCCCTAGATGCCACAAGTACTCTGGATTCATCCGTCGATTCCATGCATCCTATGCAATGATTCGCAAGTCAATCATCCTCAACCTCGCACATACATGCAACGAACATCCAGATGAATGTTCACACTTGGAACCAATAGCCGAGACACAAGAATTGCACGAGAGGTTGGTACGCAAAACATCTTTACTATACAAAGAAAGCATTCATGTCTCTTGCGGTCTCTGCCACTCGCACAGACTCAGACTACAACCAGGTACGTAACCGACTACAGCTCCCTCTCCCTTCTCTTCTCTCTAGTCTTGTGTCGCTCAACCTCACAGACTCTCTCTCTCTCTCTCTCTCTCTCTCTCTCTCTCTCTCTCTCTCTCTCTCTCTCTCTCTCTCTCTCTCTCTCTCTCNCTCTCTCTCTCTCTCTCTCTCTCTCTCTCTCTCTCTCTCTCTCTCTCTCTCCTGCCTTGGATCGTGCCCTGAATACACCCGCTCAACTCAGACTCGGACCTCGGCGGCTATGGCCGTCCTGCTTCCCTATCACTAACGGAGCTATGGTTGACGTCAGCACTCCCTTCTTCTTCGAGCACAGTCGTGCCCAAGTCGCTTGGTCACACAAGCAGCAGCAGCGCTTCTGCAACTTCACGAATGGACACCTGATGAGCCACTGCACTGTAGCAGCTAAATATAGGACTTGTCGATGCTTGGCCTGCTTCAGACCGGTACTGGTCAGCCACGGCCTGTCTGTTGCAATCATTTTGTCGGTCCGGTAGCTTCCGGACTTTCCTGGGACTTGCTGCAATTTTGAATTTTGAGGACTCGGGACTGGACTGGACTGACCCTGGACTTTTGGACTTTCTTGTCGGGTACCGGAATGTTCTACAATGGCCCAACTTTTCCAGACCCGACGGTTAGACCTACGACGCCTCGAAGTGGCCTATCGGACCTACCCTACTGGGACACTGGGATATGGGACTTCAGAACTTCCGGGACTTCGGGGCGTTGGTGCGGGCTTTCAGGTGTCTGCAGCGTGAAATCCTTTCACTACATGTGACTGCCGGGTATGATGTGGTGTCCACATGCTCAATCTGACCCAGCACGGCCAGAGAAGCATCACACAGAGGTATAACCCCGCCAAGTTTTGAGCAGAGGCAAATAGAACAAACCACAGATCTCAAATCCTATGGATAAATCCATTGATTACCTCCATCCTACATGTGATTGCAGGGTATTGTCTGGGTGTGCACATACTGAATCTGAGCAAGTACTGTGACAGCAGCGTCACACAGAGACATAGATACACCCAAATCCTCTGGCGGGGCAAATTGGACAAGCCGCAGATGCCACGAGCCTGCTGGACCAGTCCATCTATCCTCCATGTAACTGAATGGATGGTTGGTCTTTAGGATGCACGTGGCCGCTGGAATCTGGGCTGCTTTCACCAAAGAATGTGTCTGTTCCGCTTCCTTCTTGTTCGTTTTCAGAACTTTTCAGTCGAGACTCAAAAGTTCTCAAACAGAATTCCTCGCTCAGTTGGTAAACCCATGAACTATTGAAATACAGACCTCCGCTCAAATCCCAATCAACTCAGATGAGTAAAAAACTCTGAATTTACCTGGGGCCAGTCACTTTGAAGATGATATCTCAAGGCCGTCACGGCGCCGCCCTTTTGAGAAAATATAGAAATAAAAATTACTGCAAAACCTAGGCTACCAGAGTGGCCTGGGACCACTTGCCCGGCCAGGTCAAAACAAAGGTCAAAAAATCAAAATCAAAATCAAAATAAGTTTCAACCTAGGCTACCAAAGTGGCCCGGGGTCACTTGCCCGACTGGGCCAAAAAAAAAAAAAAAAAAAAAAATGTTATGATCCTGGCCAATTTCGAGATACACATTCATCAGATCGTCCAATGCCATCCAATTGCAAAAAGAAATGAATGAACTTGAGAGGAGAGAGAGAGTTAGGAGGCGATGAAGAAGAAAGGAAGAAGAAGAAGATGATGTACACCAGCATAGACCAATAAGAAAGCTCTTCTTCTTCGCCAATCACTCTCCTCCTCCCTATCTCCTCCTCTCTTATTCACACAAGAAATAATAGTACAATGTCGAATGGTTGCACCAGAATCAATGTCCGAATCCCTCTTCTACTCCAGGTATCACTTGAGGTCCACCATAGCCATGGCCGCCTCCCTCACTCTTCACTCTCATAGGCCAAGGCTATGGCGGACTACTAGGCCTTGCCCAGATGCCCAAAGGACAACCCAAAGGAGCTATGGCTGCTCTAGCTCAGGCCGGCATGCCTGACTCTGCCTTGAAGCTTCTTGGTGTAGCTCTACCCCAGCGGAGGCCTTCCTGCTGCAGCATCCACCAAGGTAATGAAGATGACTGCCACCATAGCCAGGTAAGTACCACCGGCGCTCCTCCCTAACGCTGGTCTTCTTTCTCCTCCGTGTCCTTGCTCCTTCTCCAGGAGCGCTGCTGAGTGCTAGCGCTGCTCCAGCCAGAGCTCCAACCAGTGTGTCGCCAAACTTGCACACCGACAATGAGGCTGGGCTCTTCGCCTGGCCTGGAGATATAGCGGCCTGGTTGCCTCTTGGGCCGTGACTTTCAGGCCGCTCGGCCTTCCAAGCAACCGGTATCTCCTCCCTTCCAGAGGGAAACATCATTGCAGACTCCGATATCGCCCGTGCGGCCTGAGGCTGGGCTCTTCGCCCGGCCTGGAGATATAGCGGCCTGCTTGCCTCTTGGGCCGTGACTTTCAGTCCACTCGGCCTTCCAAGCAACCAGTACCTCCTCCCTTCCAGACGGAAACATCATTGCAGACTCTGATATTGCCCGTACAGGCCCTAGACTCAGACTGGTTGGACTGGTACCCGCCAAGACCTAGCCTACAACTACTGGGCCTCTAAAAATGCCACTTTTGTCTTCTTCTGCTCGGCCTTGAGTACCCAACACATCTACCTCTTCAGGGTGTGGTACCGGACTACCTGCTACTTGAGTGTTTCCCCGCTGCTCCCAGTGTCGCGGGCCTCTTCCCCCGCCACCCGCTGCAATCCTCAATGTTACGGCCACAGGTAAGTACCGGCCCTGAGGGCCCAATGAACGAACAAGTGCCCTTGCGGGTCACACACACACTCAAGCCAACCAACACTCAGACAGGCATGCAGACCAGCAAGCGTGCACACACACAGACTTAGAGAACTTAGTAGCAAGCGGGAAACTCAGCAAGGCATTCAGTCCATGGGCAAAACTCAGAAATCAGCTGTGTGTCTCAGTCCGTGTTTGGTCAGGTCATCACAAAAATAAAAACAATATTTTTAAATTTTATTTTTCATTCTAAATTTGGTGAAGAATTTCGATGTGACCCTGAGGCAAAAAATGTTCAGTTTATTTTTCTCCATAACATAAGTTTTTTCGGATTTTTTGGAGACTTTTTTTTTTTTTTTTTTTTTGCTGGGACCTTCCCTGGTCCTTGCACGGGCTGGCCACCGGGGACCCGGGCGGCCCCGCTGATAGCCTAGGTTTCAACTTTCAACTCTATTTTTTATTTAAAATTTGCTAAGGAATTTTCGATGTGACCCGGAGGCAAAAGTTGTTCAGTTTATTTTTCTTCATAAAATAGTTTTTTCAGCCTTCAGGTGTTTTTTTGTTTTGTTTTTGTTTTTGTTGTTGTTGTTGTTGTTGCTGGGACTTTCCTTGGGCCTTGCACGGCCAGGCCGCCCGTGCAAACAAGGTGACCTGGGAAGCCCGACTGCTGGCCTAGATCAAAACAAAAGGAATTCCTGCAATGTTTCCTCATCCGGCCCGACATCAGAACACACCTACATGTCTACGAGTCCCAGCATAGATCATGCATCTGGCCCTCTGCACATCCAGGTGCATTCTGACACTGGCAGTCTTGTGCTCCTGGCCGAAATAAGTGATATTTACATCCTTCGCCCTTCCTCAGCTGAAGAAAGATTCCGTTTTTTCTGTTTTATTTTTGGCGTTGTTGACTGAGGAAGCCACCGAGACATCACTACAAGGACAAGTCCGCACACATGAACTTCCCAGCCACATTCATCAGCATTCCCTTTTTCGGTTTTTTTTTTTTTTTTTTTTTTTTTTTTTTGGCCCCCCTCTTATCATCACAAGCTTCACAACGGATATGAACAAATTGACAATCACTTCATTACAGATAAACAAATAGCAGTCCCAGGGAGGCACCATCAGTACACCGAAAACATTAAGACTATGCCAGCATTGCAGCAAAACATTCTGCTGCAAAATAACATTAATTACAAGGGGGAGGGAACATATAATCATACCGCATAAGCTGCCCCAAGAGAGATCTTCAGTCGGGTCTGCCAATCAAGTTTACCCTCTGCCAAGGGAAGAACAAACATGTGGGAATCATTGGGCCAACAAAATCAGGTATTTTCTTTTCAGGTTTTACTAACTTTTTAGCCGAATAATAGCATATTGATGTTGCATTAACACACACACACACAC